GCTTGGCAGATATTTTTTCATGCTTATAGAATTTTGGCCCTTTGTGCTTACTGTAGTGGCTATATAACTAGACAATGAAAAACTTCTTTTTATTAACACATTTAAAATTCTGGCTTATAATTTCCTTGATTCAAAGTCAAACAATTTTGCTTAAAGGCAGCATGCCCTAAACCTAATGTTGCTCATGCTTTACCTGTTGTTCCTAAATAACAGAACGTTGATGAGTTGACATACATTCCATTTTGGCAGCTGCCTGTGGTTCCATTGGAACTTGTGTCTATCTGATCATCATTGAGAGTAAAGAGTTGGTCACACGCCATTTTAATTTCCTAAAGCAAATATGTTGAAAGGATCCAGTCAGTGCAAAGATGAGACTGTTGGTCTTAGGCAATTGATTAAGAAGAAGAAGGGATAGAGTAATGAAAGATCTGAATTACAGATTTTGAAAATATATAGAATAAAAGGCTTAAAGGGACACTCAGAGCAGCAGCCAGACCTGGATTGGTGTTTCTTTAGTTAATAGACATGAATGTTTTATGATTTCATATTAGAAATGGCAGTACTTCTAAGGTGTTTTAGAAGTTCTCAAAAATATTTTAAAGTATTTTTCTTTAAAAATGTCCTCACCTGACATTAAAGAGGTCATGCTGAAAAGAATTATTACAAAGCTAATGGAATCCTTCCTAGCCAGCTGGGTTACATTAACCACATCTTCAATTTAGCTCAGAGTGCACCTCCACCTAAAATATATGGGCTGGGGTGTGGCTCAAGAAGTAGAGCGTTTACAAGGCCCTGAGTTCAAATCCCAGTACTGCAAGAATAAAATATAACACTGTATCTACATTTATAAATATATTCCGCCCATTTTTCTTCCAACCTATCATCCGTACTGCAGCAAAGTGATTCTGCCAAAACACATCAGACTAGAACTTCTCATCAGAACCTTTGTGAAGTCCAGATTCCTTAGGAGGACAGCCAGGGTCCTTCACATTCTGGTTCAAGGTCCCCTCCCCTTTAGCTACCTCTCTAGCCTGGGGACCCTGGCCTGGCTACCTGCCTACCCCACACTGCACAACTCAGAGCTTCCCTCCCTGGGTAGACTCATAATATCCACCCCAAGTTCTGGCTTCTGTTTTTCTGCCTGCCTGCCCAAACCCTCCCCTCCCCTCAATTTATAGCCCAATCTATTTAAAAAAATTTTAATTGATACATAGTATGTGCACAATATGATAACACAATATATGCATATGACATGTAATGATAAAACCAACAGTAAACAGTATTTCCATCTCCTCCAACATTTATCGTTTTTCTATGTTGGGAAACTCTGGGTTCTTCTTTTCTAGTTATTTTTAAATATATCATAGATTGTTGTAGACCACAGTTACCTGGCTGTGCTGCAGAAGACCAGAATTAATTCTTCCTTAGCCGACTATGTTACCCGTCTCTAGTGGCCACTATTCCACTCCCTTCTTGTATGGGATGGATTTGTTTCAGCTCCTACAAATGAGTAAGAATATGCCATACTTCTCTTTCTATGCCTGGCTTATTTCACTTAGCTAACGTACACTTAATGTGCGAATCCTCCCCCGCCAAATGGAGTCCCGCCAATCTACCTTGTACCTGGTTTCTTACCCCTCCCTCTCTGTGGTGTGGTAGACACCAGTGTCACATACCTAGTGGGGTTCACTCAGGTGGTTATTTTCATTTAAGTTAATTAAAATTAGATAAAAGTTCAAGTCCCTCCTTTTCACTGGCCATACTTCAGATGCCCAGTGGCCAAACGTACTTAGTAGCCACCCTCTTGGGCAGCACAAGCAGAGAGAATATTTCCATCATTGAAGAAAGTGCTGGACCTGGAGCTCCACGGAGCCTAGGCTCATTCATTCAACGCTGCATCTCCAGCAGCTTGCAGATGCTCCAGAAGTTTCTCTCAAGCTAAACCAAACTGAGCAGATGTGGGCCTCTCACCAGCACAGATGGCCAGGGTGTCCCTGATGCCAAAGCTTATGACCTTCTGATGCTGAGGTGGTATGAGGGAGGGGCATGTACCTGGCACTCGGGAGATGGGGAGCCCAGGCCAGCTTAGAAGTCATTTCTTACATGGTGGCATGTCCCCAGCCAGGCTTTTGTCGCTATGGGAGGATAGATACTGCTGTGGGACTACGTGACAGCCTGCCTTGATGAGCAGTTTGGGTCGAGCATGGAGGACTTTGGAAGTCAGGTAGAGAAGCTTGGACTTCATCCCACTGGGACCGAGAGCCCCTGGGGATGACAGAGTAGGAAGTCAAAATTATAAATATAACTTCTTAGATTTTAGGTTCTGTGAATTAGGACAGGCAATGTGAGCCCCCAACCACTCTGGGTTCTTTGTGCTCTTGGAAGAACGAATGCCCCAAGTGGGTGGCAGATCTTTACTGGGCAGCCACCATGGCTGCTGGGTCCAACTCAGAAGCCTCATTTCCTGATTAAAGCTTTGGCAGTCATGGCATTTCATCATTCATTATTCATGAATAGATGTGACTGTTCAGAATCAAAACTTAAATGCTGTAAATTAGGGCTGCAGAGAGGATGCAGGGAACTCGCCTGTAGTCCCCTTTTCTCTGGAAAAATCCTCTCTGTGAAACAGTGCCAAGATTTGATGAGTTCTCATGATGCAAAAAATTCATCTTTCAAGAAGCTGTCTTCATAAGGCAGCAGGTGGGGAAGAATCTCAAAGAGAAAAGTGTTACCTGCGGGTAAGGAGGTATTAGGACACAGGGAAGGTCGATAACATGCCCGCGTGTGCACACAAATGGTCACGCACGTGGGGCTTATGGACACATGACCCTAGTCCACACGAAGGGGAGGAAAGGGGTTCTCCGCAGAGGGAAGAGCTGGAGCAAAGGTAGAGACATTAAGTAGGAAGGTATGCTCAGGAAAGTTATTCAGTACCAGAGATGGGTACGTGTGGTGAGAGGCAGGCTGGAGAATGGGGTGGAGAGGCAATGGTGACTCACCCCAGCAAGCAGTGGGAAATTGTGGTCAAATTGTGCCTTTAATCAGCTGGCCACACAGCAGTCTGGCCACTTGGCTGGAGGGTGGAGGGTGGAAGGTTAAGAAGGTGTTCTGCCTCCATCACTCTTAACCTGAGGCGTGACACAGGTCAGCCGCTCTGGCCCTCAGTTTTATCATGTAAAAAAGGGAACTGGAAAAACAGAAGCTTGGCTACTTTGTTCACCACCACATCCCCTTTTATTTCATCTGTGTACTGGGAGTCTTTTTGTTTCTGATCAGCTTTGTTAGTTGGTCGTGTCATCCCCCCGACGCCCATCCCGCATTAGTCAAAACTAGCAGGACTCTCAGGGTCTCTAGTTAGCAGGGGTACCTGCCCCTCCTGCATTCTGAGCCAAGGCCTCCCTCTCAAGGGGGAAGGTCTACCTTTGTAAAATGTCACTGTGGGGTCTGAGGAGTCTTGCTAGGGCACCAAAGTAGTTTTCAGGCCCCAGGCTGCTGGGACCCTTGTTTCCCAGAGGGTGGTGGGAGTCTCTGGATCTAGATGCTAACAAGGCTCACATTTGGGCCATGCTTTTGTTGTGGGAATCTCAAGCTGAGTTACGGGACACTGAGGCAGTTTAGCAGGAAGCCACGTTTTATTGTGTCAGCACAGACTCAGTGGACTTGTGTCCAAAGGCTGAGCCCCGAGCACAGTGACATCTCACCTTATATACCCTTGCAAGCAGAAGCAAAAAACAAAGCTCAACCCACATATGGCTACATGTGGCTTTATTGGCTGTTTCATTTCCCCAGTGCTGTGTGACCTTCTTCATGTTTCAATTCTTTAAGTTTTATCTCTGATTTGCCATCCCTTCCCCCTGCCTCATTGTCAGAACACAGCCTGTTTCTCTTTTGGTCCTCCTCCTTGCTACACTTTGAGGGAAGCTGTATTTGGATTTTATCTTTTAAGCTATTCTTACTGGAAAAGGTTTGTGTGCACAAAGGAATAATGAAAATGGAAAAGATTAAAGAAAAGTCCCTAAGCTTCCTTCCTGTCCCAAGGTCAGCAGCACTCTGCCTACCAGCCTTTGGGTGCCTCTGCTTAGGCAGGGCGTGTGCAAACCGCCTCCTTCCCAGGTCCTGGGATACAAGCTTTGCCCATCTGCTCAATGTTGGCCAAAGACCTTGCCAGGCACAGGGAAACGCCTGAAAGGCCACCCTTCCTAGTGATTCTTAGACTCGCTTCTGTCCCAAAGGATGCACTGAAGACCGCTGACGTCAAAGCGATTCTCCAGCGTGAACCTCTCCAGTGCTGGGACTACAGGCGCGCGTGTCACCCGCGGACCTCTTCCATTCCATAACAAAATGTTACAAGACAACCACGAACTTTGTGAAAATTCAAACCGTAAAAACACCTTTCTCCCACAGACTGTCCCCAGCCCCGCCAAGTACTGGCTCCTGAGTGTCCTTCCTGACATAGGCGATGCGGTACTAGAACGCCTGCCACCGATAACGACTTTTAAAAAGAATCCCACGCGAAGGATTCTTGTAACTGCGTCTGCCCTAAGCTTTCCTCACTTAACAGCAGGTCTGGGCGTTGGCTATCGGCCAGCCCGCAGACGCCGCCTTCCTATGGCTGCATCAGGGCCATTGTCACGGTCCTACATGCCGGACACAGGGGACATTCCAGTCGTGGCCCCTCCCGCCCGAGGCCGGTCCCACCCGCGCTGCCAGGGCTGCTCCCGGGCTGGGCGATCTGCGGGAACTTTTCCGGGCGCCCGTGCGAGGCCGTGGCAGGTTCCCCATTGGAAGACTGTTGGTCTTAGGTCTCGGAAAAAACAAAACAAAACCGTGGAAGGTGAACGCGTGGGGCGCTTCGACTGGGAAACTGAGCCCCGCCCCGCCCCGCCCGCGCGATCTGTGAGTCCCGCCGCTCTGCGCCGGGCGCGCCCGTCCTGCCCCCGCCGCGGGCGGTCCCGGTTCCGCCGCCCGCCCTCGGGCCGGCCCCCCTCGCGGCCGCGGTGCCCGTCCCTAAGTCGGCTCGTCACCGCCGCGAGGCCAATGGGCTGGGCCGCTCGGCCGCGCGCACTCGCACCCGCTGCTCCCGAGGCCCTCCCGCGCTCACCCCGGCGCTGCTCTCCGGCCCTCGTCCAGCGCGCAGCCGTCGGAGCCGCCATGCAGTCCCCGCGCGCCGCGCTCCTCTCGTTGCTGCTGCTGCTGCTGGCGGCGCCCGCCTCGGCGTTGCCGCCCCGGACCGGCCGATCGGCGCCCGCGGCCACCGGCCCCGCCGCCAGCTGCCCCGAGCGGTGCGAGCTGGCGCGCTGCGCTCCGCCACCGACCGACTGCGAGGGCGGCCGCGTCCGCGACGCGTGCGGCTGCTGCGAGGTGTGCGGCGCGCCCGAGGGCGCAGCGTGCGGCCTGCAGGAGGGTCCGTGCGGCGAGGGGCTGCAGTGCGTGGTGTCCTTCGGGATACCCGCCTCGGCCACCGTGCGGCGGCGCGCCCAGGCCGGCGTCTGCGTGTGCGCCAGCAACGAGCCGGTGTGCGGCAGCGACGCCAACACCTACGCCAACCCGTGCCAGTTGCGGGCCGCCAGCCGCCGCTCCGAGAGGCTGCGCCAGCCGCCGGTCATCGTCCTGCAGCGCGGTGCCTGCGGCCAAGGTACTCCGCCCGCGCTGCGTCCCGGGCGGCTCCCCAGCCCTCCATCCCCGCCATGACCTGCCTCCCAGAGACCAGCCGACAAGCAGCGGGGCAGCGAAGCGTTGCGGGGTGTCAGGGAGCTCGTGGGGCGGCAGTTTCTTAGGAACCGACTGGGCAGCGTCCAGCCGGGAGCCGGTTCCACGGCCTGGCGGGTGCTCTGCGCGCTTCGCCCCGCAGCCCGGGGAGGGGGTGACCGCATCTCTAGCGGTGGCCGCTGGGTGCTCGGCTGGGAACATAACGCCAGGGACCCCGGGGAAAAAACAGGATGGGAATATAGACTTAGAGGAAGCAGAGAAGTTCAGGCTTGGGGACCCCAAGAACTCATTTCTGTTGCTTTCCCTTCCTTCTACGTCTCTGCTTTCCTCCCATATATAAAGTTTACCAGGCAGGATCTTCTCCATGAAAATTAACTTTTTAAGGAAAGGAACAGCGCTCACCGCCGGGCCCGCACTCTCTCCAGATGGTTCCCCCCGGCGGGGACCGGTAGACGTTTCAGCGGCGGCATCGCTGCCGGTCTTGCTTCCCTTTCTTTGAGCCAACCCTACAAAAAGCCGAAAGTTGCTCCTTTTAAGCTCAACCGGGCGCTGGACCACGAAATTTGAAGAGGCAGAGGAGGGGCAGGTTAGGGATTTGGAAGAAATGTATCCCTTCTCCTTAAGCAGCGTTTCTGTACCAAGACAGTTTTGGCAGGGAGGTGGTGGTGAGGGGGTGAAGGAGGGTGGAGAGATGCCCAGTTCACTCGCGGGACCTTTGGGAAAGATGCTCAGCCTTTATGCAGAGATGCCCTGTGGAAAAACAACCCGGAGTTCAGCCCTGGCCAGTCTAGCGGTGTGGGGACCAGCCAGCTGGACTTGGCAGTGCACTTAGTCTCTGCCACAGAGCTGCTGCCCAGACCCAGCACCACTCTCTTAGGGCATGGAGACAGGAATGGGAGAGCCTAACCCAGAGGGACTTGGTCTACACTTTTTTCTTTATCTGAGTATGGTCTAGCTTGACCACCCAGGCCTGGCACAGTTTGGCTTACATGGACAGGAAGGTGGCAGAGTGGTAGAGATGGGAGGTTGGTATCCTTCAGTGGGGGAGCCAGAGCCTGGCCTCTAGAAGCTCGGCTTAGTTAGGGAGAGGAGAGTTTTTCCAGGGAGAAATGATCCAGAGGCCGCAGAATGGGCATGATAGATCAGAAGGTGCACAACTGAGCAACAGCCTGCAGGCCCTGTGACCTTATTCCATCTTCACAACCTCACAAGGAGGAAGCTCCTGTTCTCATTCCTGTTTTATACAAAGTGGAACTGAAGTTGAGTAACTTGCCCAAGGTCACTCAACTGGAAAGAAACCCAGATGGCTTTATTCAGTCTGGCCTTACCCCAAGACTGTTAGGAGAGGAGATTTTGGAGGGACTGGAAAGTGGGTTCTGTTGGGGGTGGGGTAACAACACAGCAGAGCTCAAGACTTGTTTGGGGGAATGGGAAATAGATCCATGTTGCGGGGGACATTTGGGGAGGGCCAGGAGCCAGCCAGGCAGATGGCTCAGAGTCCCAGGGCTGAGGAAGCAGGGCTATGTGGGGTGTGCAGATGGTTTTGAGTGGGAACAGCTCAGAGGAAGACTGATGCGGGACCAACCTGTGGCAGAATGCAGGAGGGCGGGGAGTTTGGGCTGCTATGAGAATCTGAGTGTGCACTGACAGCACTAAGAAAACATATTTTGGTCAAAAACAAGGCAACAGTTAGTGTTTGTAGTCTCGCTGCATGGGGTTCTGAGTTCCGGGCACTATGGGAACCGCCTAATTTCTTGCCAGTGAAACCAGTGAGGTCTGGAGTTAGTAGGCCAAATGCTTGACTGGTTCAGCTGCTTTATGGAGATAAACAGGTTCCTCATTGGCCATCAGACTTCCAGTGGCCCCCAGGTGTGCCAGTGTGAGGACAACCACAGAAGAATGAACATGGCAGCCCTGAAAGGAGGGAGAGGGAGGGGGTGTGGCCGCTGGTCTCATCCATCCCGCCTAAGTTTGCAAATATTTATTGAGCTCTGTAGTGTGTCAGACACTGTGTCTGGGTCTGCGGAGCACTTCGGAAGCATGCAATAGGTGTGTGGGTAGATGAGTGAGTAAGTGAATGAATGAATGAAGAAGCAGGAGGTTCTGTCCTTCCTTAGCAGAAGGCATTGCTTCCTGCACCTCGTGCTCCCTCCCATCTGATGCTGTGTGCTGACTTGCTGGAGGAGGGATCTCTTGGAAGAGAACTAGGGAGCCAGCAGCCTTTGTTTGGCCCCAGCCTGCTCCATCTTTTAGCAGCTGGTATGCAAGCCAGGTCACCTGTCATCATAGTTGAATGAGGAGTCTTGGCTGCCTGCTATTGTGCAAAGGGTTGGTAGAGTGCCCTTTTAGCTGGGTGGACACAGAGGTCTTTCAGGAGGTGCCATAGCAGTAGAAGATGAGGGCAGGAGCAGACAGAGAGCAAAGAGATTCTGAGGCCTGAGGCTAAATCTGAGGTGTGTGTGTGTGTGTGTGTGTGTGTGTGTGTGTGTGTGGGTGGAACAAGTGGGAATGCTGTGGGAGGAGAGGTCCCCAGGCAGGTGAGCCATACTTTGGAGTCATGGTGGCTCTTTCAGTGGAGGAAATGTCACCATTCAAAATAAAACCCTTTTGTTTATAAGCTGTTTAATGAAGATATTGGAGAATGTCTATACTAGTGGTTTTGGAAATGAAGACAAATTATTGATTTCAGAAATCAGTTCTTCTGGCAGAGTTTGATTGGGAAACTATACAGTTCTACCAGAGAACAAAGATCTGTTTTCAATCATCCATGCTGTTGAATGAAAAAAAAAAAAGCTTGGTGTAGTGGTTCACTCTTGTAATCCCAGCATTTGGAAGACTGAAGCACAAGAATCTCAAGTTTCAGGCTACCCTGAGCCACAGGGTACATAGCAAGATCCTGTCTCAAAAAAGAAGGAAGGAATTGCAATTAATAATAGGATAATAACAGTAAGGGCTGACATCTACTTTATGCTTACTAAGCACCAAGCCTGTATTTACCAACTCTTTTGATCCTCCCAACAGTGCTCACCTGTAAGCCTCCCGGCTTATGGATGGGAGGCAGTCACAGAAAAGTACATTTTTCAGGTCTCAAATCCATGCATCTGGTTCCAGAGTTCCATTCCCCACCACTACTCTGTGCTGTTGATGCAGCAACAGAGATTAGAAGCCAACTCCAGCTGATCTGCAGCTAATACTGAAGTAAACAGTGCTCCAGATGGCCATCGATGACCTTGAGACCAGCAGGGCAGATCCCAGCTCTCACTCAACAGGCACAGTGTGAGGACAAGTTTGCCTCAGGTTGCCATCCATGCAGTCCTGCCAAGAAAGAGGAAAAGAGTAGAAGAGGTGGGCCATAGTAAAGATGTTTCCATACCAGTTTCTCAGACCCCAGACTGCTCTTGAGGAGAGAAAGGCTCTTCCAGATCCCCAGAGAATCCAAAAGACCAGCCAGGGGCACTGCAGATCTTTGTTAAAAACGTGGACAAGATGCCAGGATAGAGCCCTGAGAAAGACTCCCCAGAGAGGAGAAGCCTTGTCCATCCAGCCTCAGAGACACCCCCGATGAGCCTAGAGGACTCCAAGTCCCAGGCGGGGGTCATAGAGGACATCCAGAAACTCCCTGCTGGAGTGTTTCAGGAGCCCTGGGTCCTGGCCTCACCCAGGCTTGGGCTGTTTAAAAAATCTGCTTTATTTAGGTGGTTCTTTTATGGGATCCTTGCTCAAGTAATCATTGCTCGTTTGAGTGCTGCACACTGCTGCACTGCTGACAGTGGGAGACAATAAGGAACAAGACAAAGTCCCTGCCCCAAGGAGCCCATATTTAAGACAGTGGGGAAAAAAACAGTCATTCATCACCCATAGGTGCATTGTCCTTTGTCAATTGCAGCACTTGCTAGGAAGTCATTTCCACTATTGGTGGTTCAAATATATCTTTTGTTATAAAAATAAGTGTGGGGTACCAGCTTTCCTCTTAGGACAAGGTTGAAAGAGTGTGTCACTAGGTTTCAGTCATTTGGAACTTGCAAACGCTTAGGTCTTTTGAGCTGCTTATAAGGCTATTCTCCCTCTGTTTGCTTTTGCTAAATAATTGAAATATTAAGGATTTGTAAAATTAATAAGTTCACACGATGAAAAGCCAAGCAATTGATTTCTCTCATTCCATCCAGAACATGGGATTTAAAATAACTGTGCTCAGGAAGTGATGCCGGGGAGCCATGAACTAACTGCAGCCAGAGGCCTCAGGCCAGTGGGGCTGGATTTAGAATCTGCTTGGAGCTGTGTGATCCTGGACAAGTTCCGTGCCTTGGATTCAGAAATCAGGTTTTCCATGAGCTTATATTTTTAGTGAATAAATACCTCTGGTCAGGCTAAATGTGAAGGAGAAATCACACTTGGCATTGGGTGAGGGTTCCTTGGAAGGCCAGTTGGAGTGGAGAGGCCAGACTGCTGACATCTGGCTTGGTCTGTGTAGTCAGTTACCTGATTGAATGATCAACTCCCACTGGGCTCCCAGGGCCTTGGTAATAAGAAGACTGGACTAGGTCTCTTCTAGCTAGAATGGGCTGTGATTTCTGTAAGAAAACCAGTCTCTGAAGAGGCTGTGGTCCTTGTGTCTCTTTTGAAGGCTGCACTGGCTGCTCCAGGAGTACTTCTTTCTTAAATTACGATGGTTAGAGCCAAGGTTGGCAGTTAAACGGATGCAGCCCATCTTGAGTTTGGTTGCCTGGTACTTTGGGTTCGTGCTGGCTGCTGAAAGGCTTTGGGAGACTCTGGGGCCATATACCCAATCCCAAGAGCTGATTGTCAGCAAGCCTGGATTCAAAGTCAAGCAACTGATGTATGTCACCCATAGTTTCTTCCCTGCGGCCCTGGGGCTGGGCTGCCTCTGGGTCCTCTGGATTGAGGTTCCAGCAGAGCCATTTCTTG